TATATTTTTTTTATCAGCAAACCAGTTGATTATAAATTTATTAACACAATAAGGATGCTTTGTTGTTAACAACATTCATGAACTATACTCGGCAAGAGGACGAGAGGAAAAAAAGCAACAATTCACTATTGTTATTAACCCCAAACAAGATACCTGGAAATGCTGAATTCTTTATACTGTACTTTGGATCAGTTGATAATAGCGCGCAGCACAACGCCGCAAAACGATGAAGCTTTTATCGATGGTTTCACTTGGTCAAGAGTTTTGCTTCTCTTATCAAAGAAGCGCTGACTTAAGCGCTAGTCTTCATACTATCACGCTTTCACTCTCGTAACGTAAAGAAAAGAGAAGAAAATTTTGTGTTGGGGAAAATACCACTTAGGAATTAAAATACGCTCAACTTAAGTGATTGGATTTAAAATGATCTTTAAAGGTTAATGTTCTAATTTAGTCTTGCAGTGAAAACACTGGCGGCGCGCGTGGCTTTTAACAAAGAGGTGATAGTTTTAAAACTATCTAGTTTTAGTCGTAACGTAAAACAAAATAGAAGAAAGAATTGGCGTTTGGGAAAATACTTCTTAGGAATTAAGAATAACGCCGAGTTAAATCGCTGGACTAAAAAAATCAGTGATATTTGCGGGTTGTCGTTCTACTTTAGTCTTCCAGTGAAAACTCTGGCGGCATGCGCAGCATTTAACAAAGAGGTGATGGTTTTAAACTGCTCTGCCTTCCTTTTTGTCGACAATGGAACATCGCATAATTAACGTTACTATTGTTGCCGTATGATAATTTTATGTTCTTTCAGTGCGTGGTCATAAAGACAGCTATTTTTCAGTGATCATTAAGTGAGCTTTGTCAAAGTTAGATCTCGTTATTGCGAAAAAAAATGTCGAAGTACTACGAAGTCGCAAAAATTCTGGCTGTGCGTTCCATTGACGGACGTAAAGAGTATCGGGTGAGATGGAAGGGTTTCGGAAGCAAGGACGATACTTGGGTGCAGGAAGACGATTGCAACAGCGCAATGAAGAACTATGTGCGATCTTCACTTGAAGGTGAGTAGATTACAACAGGAACGAATTTACTTTGCTTGAAGGCTAGTTTGTTCGAGACTAAACGTTTCTCTTGGTCTTTTTTCAGGAAAAGAAAAAATGATCGATTATCTCGTCGGTGAGATTGGACAGAGGCTCTCCGTTCGAACCGCCCCAGAAAAGGGATACATTCGACGCACCACCATCAGAGTTCCCATGGATCTAGAGGACTTTGACAACCTGTTCAGTGGTCTGAGTCGTGGTAGGAGAAGGTTTGATGTAACGGCCGAGGACCTCGACAACCTTCTGCCTGATGGATGGTCCGAACGAGCGTTCCGCACCACCACCAGATGTGTTGTTAGTCGACAGCAGCCCATAACCATCCGATTCGCCAATCAGAGAAAGTTGCACTACAATCATTCCAAGTGTCCACGCTGCCAGTGGTCGGGAATTGGCGAGAAACCCGCTCTTTGCCAAGCAAGGAAGACCTGGCCGATCGATCTGAGTTACTTATTTGTGACATTTAGCCGTGAAAGGAGCCACCAAGAGCAAAGGAAGGATGGTACGTTGACAAATATCAGCCGAGGTTACATTTCACGATGTATTTCAGTTTTATTACATCGTTTGGAATTTACATTCTTTTCCATAACAATACCGTGGTTTATTTTATCATCGTTCGTTTCATTTGATGATCATAGTTTCTAATTTTCGTTTTTGTTTAATTCACAGAGAAAATCGACCTGTCCTGGATAAACTCAAGTTCAGATGAAGAATAGACTGGATGCATGGCGTTCAACAAGTCCACCGACAACAAACAAAACGGCTCTTTTAGGGGCCACCAAATAAAACAAAAGTAATTAACCAATTGCATATATCACGATTTTCCATTCCCCCTTCAATCTGTCCTCTTCTTAAGCACATATAAAGAGTATTAATACGATTATTACAACATAAACCAAAACAAATTAATATGAGAAACATGCGCTGCTGAGTGGGTTTTGTCGAGCAGACATGATTTAATCAAAGATATCCAATATCTGCCCCCTGTGATAGAGAGTTCTTCTTTGAGATGAAGGGTCGTATTGCCTCTTGTGCCGCAAAAACCGAATTGGCCATCTGCTGTCAGCGAAGTTGTTCAAAACCTCCTGTGTTTCTTCCTTGGTTAACAGATTGGTGCTTTTAACGACATTAAATTCATTTTCTTCCATAACTGGAAACCTCAAGTTGTCTATGATGTCATCTCCAAGGATTTGACGGCGTTCCACTGTATCAAGTCCGAGCTTTTCACATTGGTTTGCCGCCCACTTATTGATGGCAGTGAACAATTCAATTTCCTTGACGTTGAGTGTGTTCCTTTTCATCAATTCAATCAAGTCTGATCGGTCCATTTCGAAGAACTCGCTTGATTCCAAAACATCTTTGGCTTCTTTATCTATAAATTTCCAGCAAGAGCGCCAGAGAGACTTATTTTC